TCTGGATCCGGACTTTTTCGACGGGGTTTTGCAAATTCCTCAAAACCAATTACAAGCACTACATATTCCTTCTGAAACCGTTTTGATAGAAATTCTGGGAAGGAGGCTCAGAAATGAGCCAATAAATGAAATCTGGATCAACCAAATAAATTTCTATCAACACTCTCCAGCTACTTTGGGAGGTAATATTATTCCATGGGTGATTTAGGTTATTTTTCAGGCCAATGTGTATAAGAAATGAAAGAATGTAAAGAAGGTATTGAAATGCAACCTGAATTGAGAGAAAATTATGTATTCATTTTCATTGAATTTTACGTGCACAGGAACATTATAATTGTTGGAATTAATTGAATTTGATTTGGGTTTAAAATATTAAATGTAATATTTAATGATATGGGCCATTGCAATTAATTTGAGTGAATTGGAAAAGTCTCCAATATAGGCTCATATGTTGATAAGCCCATTTTAAGTGGTTTTTATATGGAAAGGAGTCCCACATCGAAAGTTTACAAGAAAATAGTCTTGTTTATATAGTGGGTTGTGTAAATAATATATAATTTAATATGTTACCTACCACTTGGCTAACTTTAGCTAGCCAAACGCTAGCAAACTAGCTAAAGGCTAGTCACCACTAGAGTGGTGCTTCGCACCACTAGCACCGTTCCCCGAACCCGGGCCCGGCACACGCACGTCGCACGTCGCACGTCGCAAAGTACGCATTGGGCGCTTTAGAGGCGCACGTACGCATCGTCGCGAGGAGTTGGGGAGCCTTATAGTTTTCGAAAATGGACTCGTGGTTCGATGACGTGGCAGCACAAGGCTCGGTGAGTTGGCATTCTAGGTGGCGCACGAGTGGTAGGTCGTGTCCCTTCGTCCTGCGTGGCGGTTAGATGTACGCATGGCATACATATGACCGTGACTGTTCAGAAATTGGTGAATAGGCATGATGAATGGACACTTCACTTCATGGTTCAATCTGGGCCGTCAGATTATAAAAATAGTGCGATCCAATGGCTAAGACGAATCAGACCAAGTGGTGCACCAGTTCCTGAAATGTCACACACCTGTTCCATGAGACACTTCAATCTCTATAAATAGGGACCCCCAGATTCGTTTTTTGACACACCAAATCAATTATGAATTCAATTGATTTCTAAATTCTTCTATCTCCATATTCTGCTCGTAAAAAATCTCTTCTACTTCTGTCGTTATTCCGTTCAAATACGATCATTCATTGGTTCGACCGACAAGGTTGGTATTGTGCAGTATCGATTTTGGAAGGAGCGTTGTATCTTGGGAGATAGACGTCCATAATCCCGTTTGCACTTCATTGGGGGGGCGAAATCTGTCTTAAGGAGATTTGCTTACTTTATTGGCATATCTCGCTTCATTTACTGTCTATTTTTTCTGCTTATTTTATTTCTTCTTTTGATTGCGTTAGTCGAATTTTCGACAACAATATTTATACAGGGGAGCTACTGTTAATAGTTGCTATACCAAAAAAAAAATTAATTAGAGAATAAATTTTGAGCTCACCAACATTCTTGGAATATATATTTATATATGTTTTATTTGCAGGTATTAGTTTTCAAGCACATAATGGCACTTTCTTTTTCATTACCCCAATAGCAAGGTGTGGTCTGAATAGAATTAATCGAACCATCGAAGAGGGTGGTAGTTGGTCTCACGCCGGTGGACGTGTGAAAGAAATCATGGATGGAGGACATCGAGTCAGAAGTAGGAGGTCATACCACTATAAACCTCCTGCTGCCGATGCCGATAGATGGCTCATGAAAGAATACACTGTCTATCCATTGCACGAGGTTCTGGGCTCTAATTTGGAGTATATAGTTTTCATATGTTAGATTTTTTCCTCTTTTTTTGTGTGTCTAATGATTTTTGGTTCCTTTGGCAGATGAACAACTTCGCCGTAGTGAAGTTACACAGGTGATGATAGCTCGGATTTCGCCACTCGGGAGTGATTGCAGGGATGGCTTTATGATTATGTTTTCAAGTACATCTAATTTTTAGGTTAACTTTTTTTTTTTGGTCAAAATGTCGGGGTCTCATTGGAGAATATAACACGATGAATGTTTTTTTTTTTTAATCTATAATATCCTTAAAAGTTATTCCAATTTCCTGTTATTCTTCTTGATTCTTCCTAAAAAATGTATATTTCCCTTTAGTTTGCGTTTTCTGGTTTTCAGTTACACTGATAATAGTTCTTACAACAGGACTGATTAGCTTTAGGCATGAAAATTCTCACTTAGGTCAAGAGCTAATGAAAGTTTGTATTTTCCCTTAATGGCCGGGACTGTTGATTACAATGAGGGAGAAAGTTTAGCTTGTACTCAAGTATGAACTTCATATGACTACTGCTGATTCCTTTTTAATCTCTAATGTAGATTCTAGTGGAGGAATGATTGTACACTATGTCCATAAAATGTACTCTAATTGTTTTGATGCTATGGGTTTTATAATAATTTGGTTAAATTAAATAAATCAATGCTTGTCTGATTTGCTCTTTAGTTTTTCCTCATCCTGGTATCAAAATTGTTGCCTGATAATGCAGTAGAATCTGCTGAAGTAGATATTTTTTCATCATTCCAAAAATTTGGATCTATTTCATAACCCCCTATGCTTTTGTCCATACAATGTTTATTCAAATAGGAAGACACATAGATTTTAGCAAGTGTTATATCGTAATTCTCAGCCATCCCGCATACATCCTTGCTGTTTTTTATTGACATCTAAATGCTTAAGAATCCAATGAGCATAATTCTGCATTATGATTTTGATTAATACATGGTAACAAAAATATGACACATGCAATGTACAAAACCAGACATAACTTAAGGCCGTTGAATATCATGTACAAGGGTTATTCTTGAGTTACATAACCCCTTACATAAGGGTGTCCAAAATGGCGTGTAGGCACCCAAGGGGTTATGTATCCAAGAATAATTCCATGTACAAAAACCTTTTAACACGATGTGTAACATTGGGAGATTTTGCATGTGCGAAAATCCTATGGTAAAGTGCTTTCAAAATTTTATTCTAGACATTTTAAGTTATGAAACATTTCACATTCATGACTAAGTATGTTGAATCCCATGAACTAAATTAGATCTGACATTACACACCATTTGAAAAAATACATGTACAAAATCAGATTTAATACATCTCGTTGAATATCATTTATTGTCAATGATGAGATCGTTGTAACATATTGTGTCACACATTGCCCATTTCATACAATAAAAATCATGAAAGTAATTTTAATATAGAGATGGATATCCTCCTGGTATGCTTAATTATAGTGCATCATAAAAGAATTTCAAATGGTCGATTTCGTTGACCCTTTGTGGGCTCAATAGAGAAAGCGTGACTTCGAGTGCTTGAATCCACATATAGTCCTTCGATCGACCAGCCTTAGGCCAATGAAGCGATTATTAATCTGAAGATTGCGATTTGAGACCAAGTCGTAGTGTTTGCTGCTCTTGCCATTGAAGTAGAAAATGATCCCATCACCAATGAACCACTGTCCAAACAAGCTGATCCAGGACCATTGCAGTATGGTTTTTTGTCTGTAGTTATCAGATTTAGCCAATATCTAGAGAAAAATTGAAATAAAAACCAAACCGTAAACTAGTAGTACTACGCAGAACTTAATAAGAATTTCTTACTCTTGCTTTTAGGCCGATGAACCACGATCCAAACAAGAATTTGGTAATCTAACCAAAAGAGCGGAAAAAATAAAAAATTCAAGATTCTTAGAACGAGATATAAAAAAGTGGGTTTTCTTTTTTTTTTTTTTCTTTACTTGTTTGGCTTCATTGGATAAGTCTAAAGCACAAGGGAAGCAAGAATGAGATTACTTGAATCCTCCACCTGTCTCCGGTAGAGAAGACACCTTCAACGTTTGGAAAACAAAATCTGAGAAAAATCTGAACATTTTTTTAGCTTATCTTCCGCTTATAAGTTATTTTCAAATTGAAATTAAAACAACAAAAATCTAATAAAGAAAAATGCATCTCAAACTCAAATTACAGAAAAATAACAGGATGAGCTTCCCTTAAAACAAGAAACAACAAACACGTGTCTGTGGCGATTAAATATATCTGGATTACTTCACCAATCTAAAAGCACACAAATAACCTACGAAAATAGGGAACAAAGAAAATTCGATCAAAATGTCCGGACATAATTAAGTAAAAAAAAATAAAAAATGACAGAACTAACATGGTCTGGTGATAAAGAAAACTCGTAAGCAACGGAACTAACGCTGTCTGACCTTCCAAGTGCCACTTGTGACTAAAAAATCAATATTGACAAATGCAAAATGTAGTACAAATGTACAATTGTTCAAAATTTGTACATGATAATAACACGAACCTACAAAACATCCCAAATGGTACACAATCTCATTACTGAAATCAACTAAATCTCGTGCTGATGTTCCACAGGAAAAAAAATAAATAAATAAAAATCCTAAATTTACGCCTTTGTCACGGACCCTTTTGTTCCAAAAAGAAAATAGCTTTGGCCCATATTAGTAAAATTATTCCCTTAACCACCCACAAATTACGTTAAAAGTGGGATCTCTACGCAAATATTTATAGAAAAAATGAAAATTAATAGAACCCTAACTGAAATAGACTATGAAACAAAAAAATTTCACCTGTAAATCGAGAAATCAAGTACTGTTGGCTGATCTTCACTCGAAATAATCGAGCCAGGGTTTAGAACATTTCCTGTAACACCAGAAAAAAGAAAAAAATTCCATTCAAATGCCTTTTTTTTTTTTTTTTATATAGATACATAGATCATAAAATCGAAACATACATTAATTCGAGAAATAAAGAGAACAACTTCAGAGGTGAAGAAAGCCAGGGAATATTTAATAAAATTCGACTTTGAAAATTGAGTATTGGACTTGGTTGAGATTCAGATTAGAGCTGGGCTCAAACATATATTCGGGCCAAGATTATACATTTTCTCACCCACGCTAAATCTGCTCCTGTAGGGAACACTACATGCACACGGAACTTTAGGGTTTCCTCCAGGGCACCGTGTAGGAAATTCTACAGAAGTAAACCTAATCACCCACACTACATCCACACGGAACTTTAGGGTTTCCACTTTCCTCCAGGGGCACCGTGTAGGGAATTCTACAGCACTGCATCCACACGGAACTTTAGGGTTTCCTCTAGGGGCACCCACAATACATGCGGAACTTTACGGTTTCTCTATAAAACAAAACGTGAGTTTTCAATTCCATATCTCCAAATCTAAAAATTTTCAATGGACACCCAAAACATCAACAGGATCGATTATCATCGAATTTCGGATTATATGAATGAAAAACTGACCGATGAAGAATACTTTGGGAGATTGGATAAAGTTATGGTTTTCCATCCGAATGATGCTCAAATTATTGATCTCTTGATAAAAAAAATCAAGAACGAGAAGCTGCCTCGCAATCTGGCTAAAGTGGGTAATATATATGAGATCGACCCAGAGAAACTTGCAGGTGAAATCCTTTTATAATTTTTGTTTCATAGATAATTCCATCTTAAAACGCAGTTTGTCTTTGATATTTTTCTGGTGCTTCTTTCATTTTAAATTTATTTTATTTGATTTCCAGATAATTATGGGAAGCTTTCAACTGAAATTTGGTACTTGTTTACATTAAGGGATAGAAAATACCAAAACGAGAATATAAATGTATCTACAGTTGATGGATATTGGCAAGTAAAAGGAGATAATAAAAATGTGGAATATAATGGGGAAACTGTTGGATTTCATAAGATTTTTCAATTCTACGAGGGAAAACCTGGTAGCGGTGAAAAGACCTCTTGGATTATGCATGAATTCAGAGTGATTGATCCTCTGCCCCCGCAATACGGTGTTGGTGTTGAAGGTCGAACCAAGGTACAATAAATTGTAATGTATAAGTTTTAGCTGTTTTAGAACATTATTTGTAGATATAATAAATTAGAAGGGGCTACTCTGCTTCTCCAGTAATGAGAATCAATCTACAATAGATGACTTTAATTCGCCTAAACTCTGATTTTTGCACATTTTAATTTCTGCTACTTTTACTCTTGAAATTTCTGGAATGTTTTCTTGTAGTTGGAGGATTGGGTTTTGTGTAGGATCTGGAACAATAAGAGAGGCTATTATTATGAGAACGATGATATCTACACATCAACTGGATTACGAAAAAGAGACTGGAGCTCGCGAAGAAAAAGAGACTTGAGCTCGCCAAGAACGTCCTACAACTTGCGAAAGAAGAAACTGACAAGCACATGAATTTTTTGTTCTTGTTTTACTGGTTTAGTTATCTTTTGTTACTGGGAAATTGTACCTTTGGTCCCAAAAATTTTATTTGCTTGTAGCATGAACTAATTTTCATATTGGTGTGTGAGTAACTTGGCTTGTCTGTTCTTGGTTGGACTAACTTGTTCATTTTGCTTTGTGAAAAGTGGTGTGCTGATTATTCATTTATTTGGGAGTGAATGGAATGCTTTGATCTTTTGAACTGGTCCAATAGGTAGATTTAACAAAAGAAAGAAGCCAAAAGAGTTCAGTTGTGATTTTATTTTCATCTTTGTTGCGATGGTAGTGCGTGACGGGGATTTTATTGATACAGCTTCAATGTCAGCAAGTACAATTCGCTTCTCGATTAGGGAAGCTGCACATTGAGGGAGGGGTTGCTACAGTTAGATTGGCAAGCCTTTGATCGGAACCTCTAGATTTCTTCCAATTTTGCACTGCCATGTTCTAGTTCCTTGATCCTCCACGCAAGCTTGCACCTCTTTGTATTCGGCAAAGAAACCAACCGCAGCCTGGTAAATTTATACCAGCTCTTTAGGGACGCCATCAGTTTCTTACTCAATGATCTCGTCTTCTAATTCTGGTGTGGTTCGTAAACACTAGAAACGAATTTCTCAAAGCCTCGCAAATTCCTATTCGAAAGTTGATTAATGTGCATACATTTCACATATTTTTACAGGTGTTTACTATGTCATATTTATGCCGAATTGTCAAAACAAGTGCTGATTGTTAAATTATGTCTTTATGTTAATCCCACATATTTCTTTTAATTTGTATTCACTATGAAGCTTAGCCATAGACTTAATGGTGTAGCATAGGAAGCCATTACAAAGTTGATTGTAAAGAGTGGGGAATCAAATTGATACCAGCTATTTATCGAGAAATAATAGGGAGATGCTTTGAACCTTATTTGTGTAAACTTTTACTTTCAAGTTAGATTTCAAAATTTAGATTTTACCATATGTGAAGGATTTGAGAGTCTTATTTTTCTAATATGTGAAAGATACATCATAAGCAATTATACAAAATTGTTACTGGAAACAACAATGTCAATGGCCTGTTCAATTTTCTTTTTATGTTACGTCCACAAGGACCAATGATAGAACCCTCTCAAAAATTAAAGTAATGAAAGAAATAAAAGATGAAATTAATACCACAAGTTTACAAATAATTGATGGTGATCTCTATAAGCAAAAAACTAAAAAGTCTATTTACAAAAATTGAAGGAAGAAGAAGAACATCATCACCAGTTAATGAATTTGAAATAAATGGGATGCATGGTTGAATCATGATGATAATGAAAACATTCGGGAGAGCAGAAAAAGAAAGACAAAACTAAGTCTATGTCCATCTCCTTCATTTTGGCTCTATTAGTATGACAATTTTTTAGATATATTGAATAGTTATCTTGCTCTTTGAATTTACTGTCACAATGCAATTTAAACGTTACATTTCTCAACTCCGTGTGTGTCACGGAGAGACACTCTCTCCGTGACACACAGCACCTTCTTGGATGCATTGGACAGTGCATTTTGCAAAGTTTCCTTTTCATTGAAGTCCTTCTTAGTCAAGTGCTATTCGGACATATTTGACTTTGAGTTAGGCTTTGCTGACTTGATGATAACCAGCTCTTTGATCAGGAGAATGACAATTGACGCCACACTAATTAAAATAGTAGAAATCTAGAGATAAAGACTATTTTACACAAAAATAGTATGTGAATAAGATTATATATTTTACATGATATTGAACAAGCGACTAGTGATGGCAACGGGGCGGGTTCAAGGCGGAGCACCCCCACCCCACCCTGCCCCGCCCCATTTGGCCAAAATATCGCCCCCTTGTCCAACCCTACCTTAAATGGGTGACGAAGGCAAGTATGAGGTGGGAAAATGCCCCGTGGGGGGGGGGGGGGGGGGGGGGGGGCGGGGCGGGGACGGGGTAACTTTTTGCCACGTTTGTTGCCTTGTTTAATTTTTTTATTATTATTTATTATTTTTTACATTTTGAAAGTTTTGAATTATGTTATTATTAGATAATAAAATACAAATTTAAAATGAGTTTTTAACGGATGAATTGTCTAGAAATAAAATTATTTTTAATTTTTAATTTTTAATTTTTTTTTACTTTTTCTTCACGGGGCGGGTTTTTTTGCCCCATTCGGGGCGGGGCGACATCGGGGCGGGGCGGGGCGGGACAAATTGCCATCACTACAAGCGACTAGTTTTAAGTGTTAAAGTAATTTAAGCCTAGACGAAAAATTTTGCATACTTAAAAAAATCTTTAGTTACTCGATAAAATCAATGCAATCATCAAAAACAGATCAGAGAATTATTTTTCTTAATTATTAGGTTCTACGTATGAATAAATAATCATATCAGCCAAAAAATGTTAGTACAACAAGTGAAATAAAACATTTCATTAAGCTAAACTCATTTAATCATCAAAAGCATGCTGGATTTTTCTTCCCTCTAATTGAGGATGTTAAAGATAAAGATAAAAATAAACAAAAATATTATAGAACGAATTAACTCTTTGCCTTCAATAAACTCAATGAAATAATAATGTGATATGGTAAATTTATTTTAGAACTTTGCTAAAATTAATTCATGTCAAACATTGAATTTAGTCTTTTCTTGACGAGATTTTTATTGCGGGAATTTGCTTTTCCCTTAACAAAGCATCTTTTACTATGATATTAACCTTAATGTTGTGCTATATATTTATGTTATTTGTAAAAAAAAAAAAAAAAACATTAATTCTACGAATATCACCTTTTGCCTCTATTCTCCCTAATTCACCCGCATAGTCTATTTTCTAAAAACTCCCAAATTCATACCACCTTTTCTTCCTCCATTAGCACAATCCATACTTATGTGGAAGCAATCTCAAACTTACAACATGGCCATTCAAGAAGTTGGAAAATCAGGTATGATTTGTATTTCTTGTTGAAGTCGTGTCCCATTGATGTTTTCCAATAATTTTTTTTTTCCTTACCGCCCTTTCTATATATTCGTATATACGTACGCAAATCTCCCTTTTTTTTGTGTAAATCAAATCGTTTATAGATATTTTTCATAACATTTTTAGCCACCATTAGAAAAAGTGACTACATCGTTGAAACCTCTTCACGTAAAGTATTCTTTTTTGCCTTAGTTAAGTAATGATTTAAATTAATATCATTGAAATTTATTAAAATTTGAATTTTTATTTTTTTTGAAATTTTATATGTTGATTGAGTTGAGAACAAAGATATGATAAGAAATAAAATATAAAAAATGATGATCTTATATATAAAGGCGACTGATTGTTGTAAGTTCCATGAAAGGAGCTTATTATCCACAGTGAAGTGGTAGAGTCAAAGTGGTATATAAATGAGCTAATTTAAAATTAATGTATCATGACAGATGTCATTTGTTACATCAAATAATTATGTAAATATCTCTATTTATGATGCATTATTTTTTAAGGTACGAGGGGTGACAAAGTGTTGAAACCAAGCATCAAACATTACAAGTTCAGGTGTAATAAGTATTATCATATTCTTAATATTATTTTAATTATGGTAGACTAATATATATAAAAGTATACCTTGAAAAAAGACGATGGCTTTTTTCGATTTAATTAGCCGTCTATTTTTGTGTTCATGCACGAAGTGGGGCAATTTTTCCAATTGCCGAGCCTACACAAGTTTTTAAAACATTGATTATTTCTCGATGAAATCAATACTTATTACAAAAATAATTTTGTTATAATAAACTTATTGTCTATGTATTGTTTATGATGATTCTTATCCACCATAAGCCTAAGCCCATCACAACTAAATTTTGTGATGGCATTGGTCATTTTGAGGTTATTTTAGATTGTCTAAAAAAAATTATATTATAATGATTACATCTAATTTTCAATGCATTTCAAAGGTTAACATAAGTATGAATCTTGTTAATTTCTCAAAGGAAAAAAATGGTGAACTTGCTGTGGAAATCTGATTTCATAATTTCTAAGCCTTATTTGTGGATAAACTTTTGAAAAGTAGAAATAACACACACAAAAACTGGATTTAGGGAAAAATACTAGAATCCAACAAGCTTGTGCGAAAACTTGTGCAAGTGGTTCCAAAATCCAATGAGGTTACAAGCATGGACCAAAATTTCCTATGTAATATTTGACTTGTGAAATTAAAATGATTTAAGCAAAATTTGCGTACAATTAAATTTAACAAAGGAGTTTTACTTGCAACAATTAGTTTCAAATTGAAAATTGGATGATCCAATAGATAATTTTTACAAGTGTAAACGGTTATTCACAAGGGAAAGGTGAAATGTGGTGACATTAATTGCATCTCACATCATGTTTGATTTCTAAACTTATTTGGGGGTGTGTTTGAGCCCCTTTAGTTTTGAAAAATGTATTATGGAATAGTAGATTAAAGAAAAATATGTGGTTTAAAAGAAAGAAAAGTTTTTGATTCTCATATACTGTTATTTTAACGAAAAATGTGTGATTGAAAATGAATACTGTAAAAAAAAAATAAGGTGATAGGATGTAAAATAGTGAGCGACAAATAAGGGCTTAGTTAAAATCCCTGATGATGAGCTTGTTGTCTTTTCATTGTCTATCCAATATATTTTTAGTATCTCGATACACCATATCTTTTTAGTGAATAAGGAGACACAAATACTAGTATAATTTTTAACACTTTTTGTACATTATATGATCTTGTCTTTTTACCATTCGTTAAGAAAAAATAACGTGTTAAAAGTGTAAAAAAAATATTAGAGGGATAAGTTTGAGATATCCATTGCACACTCGAGCTTTTAGATAGTACCAGCTATTTTTACTTCAAAAATGACCTGATGAGCTGTCATTTTTTTTTTTTAATTATTATTGAGAGAAGCTTGTTATGAATGAAGGTTGATTTAAGTGGCTAGTGGTTGAGAGTACAATTCCCATACCCAATATGCCTATGAAACTAAAGTTCGTTATGACACAGAAACTGGCTTAAAAATTTGTTGGAGTATGCTTCTTTCTTCTTGCATCCAAATTATTACCCTTAGTGCCAAGTTGATTAGCACTGTCTTTCATCTGAGAGAGCTAATCACTTCATAGTTTCCTATTGATATAGGTTGATTCAAGTGGTTTTCCAACTTCTATCACACGGTATGCTAATAAAATTTCACATGACTCAGAGGACTTATATT